GTGTAAATTTGTGAGACAACTTGAGTCCTTTTGGTGGAACCCGAACCGTGCCGGACAGAGGCACAACAATATCAACATTTAGAAAATTATCGTAATACCGTTAACACAATACGCTTCAAAGGAAATTATGGAAGAATTAATCAGTAATACTCAGACTGAGAAAAAAATAATATACCGTTAACTTCAAGCGCTTCAAAAGAAATTATGGAAGAATTAGTCAATAATATTCATCAATGAAGAAAATGACAAACTACATCAAGAAAATCTAGATAGAAATTATATTAAAAATCGTTATCGATACACACAGAATTTAAAAAATAATCGTGTTAAAAAACGTCGTCGATATACACAAAATTTAGAAAATAATTGTGCTAAAAACATCGTCGATATAAAGACAACTTAGAAAATATTTGTGCTAAACAACGTCGTCGATATGAAGACAACTTAGAAAATAATTGTGCTAAACAACGTCGTCGATATGAAGACAATTTAGAAAATAACCGTGCTAAAAAACGAATGCGTTACTTGACAAATTTTCAACACGAACGAGATAGACAGAAAGAAGTGAGTAATCGGAAGTGGTTATACAATAAACGATATTATGCGAAAAGAAAGTCAATATCCAGTCTTGCAAAACAAAATACTGCCAAAAATATTATTAAAAAATATGAAAAGTTTTGGTCACAAAGTTATATAAAATATTATAATCCTGTGGCAATTAAAAATATTTTTAACAAATTAAATATTAAAAATAACGTTGAAAACAATTGGAAGCCGAAAAAATTGTACGTCGTTGTATGTAAATTTGAGATAAATACGTTCGCGATATGTATAAAATATTAGTTTTGCTTAAAAATAAATCAGAAGTGTACTTGATTCTTGCTACTAAATGCAAAACAATTGATGAAAAATTAGTTGCACTTTGTGATAAATCGAAACATACAGCTTTATTCGAAAATTATTTTATCGATAGTACATATCCTAATATTTCATCACAAGTATTAGCAATGAACATGGAAGGTCAAGTTACAAACGTATTACCTTTGATAGAAGCACAACTAAAAAAAAATCATGGTTATGCAATAATAATTTATGTAAAATTGATGGATTTTTGATTGATTGTTATGAAAAAATCTTTCAAGTGATATGTATATGTACCTTTAAGAAAATACCAGAATTGTTATAAAAAATTCATAAATGTACAATAAAAACAAATTTAAATACGAAGTTGGGTCATACGCATATTTGTTACATTGATACAACTCTTTGCAAAGCGATGTCTCTTCCCATTTACTTATTATTACCTTATTTTCCAAAGGTTAGATATATTAAACGTTTAATTTATCTACTGACGAATTTTTATAGAAGGATGTTAGGTTTAGAGAAGACTTTAACGTCTGCTGATTTAGAAACACTAAACAAAATAATAATTGTGGCAGAAGAAAAAGCAAATTGTATGTATAAACATGAGCAAACTCGTACTAGTTTGAGTGAGAAGGAATTTTCCAAAATTTTTCCAAAATTTAACGAAGCATTTAAGGGGATGCTAAACTGATTACCGAACTTGATCGAGGTCGATAGTACAGACTTTTTAAATTCCAAATTCGATAATAGTGGTGACATCTTTGATTCGGTTCTTACATTATATTATATAATATATATCATTCTGTCTTATTCAAACGCATACATATGTCCTTATCTAATATATACCAGCATCATCTATCGCAAGACGGCGCAACTACTACTACACAGAATTTTGGCTCTGTTGACAGTCCCAGTCTTCACAAAGCACCTGTATACACGTATTTTCCATTCGGTGACGATATTTTTTTTCTAGACTTTCAATCTTAGTTCTACAAACTCGGTATCGTTAGTTCCAATAATGTGATCTCAGTTGAACTTATTTTCAAAATATGGACTCTAAAACTCTTATATCAAGCAAATATATATCTGAGGTGACAGCTGTACAAGCCAAAAGTAAGTGAATTTTTTAACTTTTTTCGATTTTCTCATGAAATCCAGTACAGCTGAGGTCCTGTTTGTACGTACTTTAATTTATGTAAGTACTAATACTTTTGCAATCCGTAAATCCAATTCAGAGATATTTCACTGAATGGAAATGTGGATAAAACAGGAGGCTTTATCATCGCCTTAAGAGGATGCTGGAGTGACGATCGAACTTAATCAAGGTCAATAAAATCGATTTTGTACCGCTTACGCCCTCTGGAGGCTCTGGCTCTCACTTCTTTCATGCGCTGTGAATGCTATGAGCACTCACGTTTCCGACTGTTTCCAGCCGTGCACCGTTTCCAGTCGCTCAGTTTGCTCACATGTGTGAGCATTTAGACAGAACGCAGCCTGAAATATGATTGCTGATGATTTTAAGTCGCACTGTCATTACTAAAAATCTGTAATATATGTGATGTAAAATACAGATTTTACTGACACGGTCGTAGCACTTTTCGTTATGGTCCAATGCCATTTTAGGTTGCATAATGTGTTAAAATGTGTCACATGAATACATACGAGGTGTGATCAAAAAGTAAGGTGACTTTTCATTTTTATAAAAAAATATTCATTTATTCATCCAAAATTATGTTATCCCCTTCAAAATAATCCCCCTCTGATACAATGCACTTGTGCCAGCGCTTTTTCCAGTCGTCAAAACTCTTCTGAAATGCACTTTTGGGTATTGTCTTGAGCTCCTCCAGCGATGCAGCCTTAATCTCCTCAATCGTCGCAAATCTTCGTCCTTTCATGGACCTTTTCAATTTTGGGAAGAGGAAAAAGTCGCAGGGGGTCAAGTTTGGTGAATACGGTGGCTGAGGCATGATGACAGTATTGTTTTTGGCCAAAAACAATACTGTCATCATGCCTCAGCCACCACACACTCACATTCGCTGACACACGTGTCATACCCAAAACATCCGTTAAAATTTATTGGCATGAGCCAAACGATATGTTAAGATCATCAGCTGTTTCTCTAATCGTGATTCGACGATTTTTCAACACAATTTCTTTCACTTCCTGAACATTTTCGTCGGTTTTTGACGTGCTGGGGCGTCCAAAGCGAGGTTCATCATTAACATTTTCTCGGCCCTCTTGGAATAACTTATACCATTTAGAAACATTTTTTTTGGTCAAAGTTGACTCACCGTACGCCACTGTCAACATTTCAAGAGTTTTTGAACACTTAATACCATTTTTTACACAAAAATTAATACAAACTCTCTGCTCCATTATTTTCAACAGCAAAAAATCGCCGAGCACGCAAACACGAGTCTAACCTTTATGCCTCTCACATAAAAACAACACATGCTATATAGTCAAAACTGTGAACATGATCGTGACGAGTGTACCAACACAACAAAAAAAAAATTTTTTAATTAGAGTGTACAGAGCGCGCGAAATTCAAAAAGTCACCTTACTTTTTGATCACACCTCGTATATTGCATATATATGTGTAACTACTTCATTTCTTTTTGCTAAAGAGATAAGTCTACTGATACATATTGTCAGAATCTGTAGGGAATGTCCCGATTGTGCACATTAACAATCGGATACGACATGATTTCCCGATCGGACACATTAATGATCGGACACATGGTGTTGCAATTGGACACAGACCCGTTTGCACACCGACCCGATTGCGCACGGACCCGATTGCGCACCAACCCGATTGCGCACGGACCCGATTGCGCACCGACCCGATTGCGCACAGACCCGTTTGCACATAAACAGTGGGATGTCAACGTTGACAGTGTCCGCTTGGAATATTTTTCCTAAAAAATCTAACTCTAACCAAACCATTTATTGATGTGAGGTAGACCTCATTTCGCGTGGAAGGTTGTGAACTGTAGGCAATGATGTATGTAGTCAATAGAGCTGTAGGCAATAACACATGTAAGCAATCGATTTCTAGGCAAATGAGATGTAGGCAAAAGGTGTTGTAAGCAACCAATTTGTGGGCAAATGGGGCCTTCCCTGTGCAAACGTGTCTGCACGCAATCGAATCCGTGTGCAAACGAGTCCGTGTGCAAACGGGTCCGTGTGCAATCGGGTTTTGCGCAATCGGGTCTGTGTGCAGAGCCCCCCTCTTTATCGCTCTTCGGATGAGCCTACCCTTAGCGTTAGTATACTCCAACTCTCTGCCGTCAAGGTAGTCCCGGAGGATCCTGCGCAGATACCGGGGCACACGGTGCGTCTCCAGCGCCTACCCGATGCGGTCCCAGGGGAGGGAGTTGAACGCGTTGGAAATATCCAGCGCCACTCTTAGCACCACTTCTCCCTTAGAGACCGTCTCCTCCACTATATAGCGCACTCGGAGGATAGCATCCACCGTGCTGCGACCCTGTCGGAATCCGTATTGTTCAGCGTGCAGATTCGGACCCGTTCCGTTCAGGTGTTGCACCACTCTTGCGGCCACGATCCTCTCCAGGAGTTGGCCTCGTCGTCAAGCAAGCAAATTGGGTGATACCCAGAGAGACTATCCTCCGGCTTGCCCTCCTTCCTCAATAAGACCAATTTGGCCTTCTTATAGATTTTTGGGAAGACTCCTAGTTTCAGGCACTCCGTAAACATCCCCCTGAGGCCTTCTCCCAATCCTGCTCTGCAGGTCGCTATCGTCCAGACTCTGCTATGGACTCCGCTCGTCCGGGAGCCGCATTTCGGGACGTCATCTTCTCGATGGCACTCTTTAGCTCCTCTTTGGTAACCCCAAGCTCCTCTCTCCAGGATCCCCATCCTTTATCCGGGAGTGGTGCCTCCACCTAGGTATGGACCTCCTCGCTGGTCGGTAGGAAGAGGGTCTCTAGGACCTCCTCTAGGAAGAGCGGCTCCAAGGCCTCCGTCAGCGGAAGTGTCCATCTCTTAAGCTTGTTCCGTACCAGTAGATATGGGAGCCCCCATAGGTTCTCATCCTGGGAGAGGATCAGATCTTCCAGGACTTATCTTTGGCCTTGTTGATGGCCACTCGGAGCTCTTTCTTGGCTTGTCTACATTCAGCTATCCTGGCCTCCTCGGGTGGAGGCCTCTTCGAGGTCTCTTTGGCGTCTTCTCGCCCTCTTGATCTCTCTTCTGGCCCGCATGGCAGCGCCTCTCAATGACGCAATGGAGTCACTCCACCAGTACACCGTCTTTCTGGGTCGTTGTGTGGCTCTGAGCATTGCCGTGTCGCATGCTCGGACCAGTATATTCTGCGTTTCGGCCGTTCGTCCTTCTGGGTCCTCCGCGCTGGTTGTGGTCCAGGATCCGGCCAGGACCGCCGCTTCCAGCAGGTCCTCGTCTAGCTGTTTAAGGCTCCATCTTGGTGGCCTAGTTTGGCCGCGTTTGGCGGTCTGTGCCTGGGTCTCCCTCAGGCCTATCTTAATGTAGACGTGGTCAGAGTACGTTTCGTCAGGAAGTATCCTCAGCAACTTATTTTAACTTAACCTAACTTATACTAACTTATCCTAACTTAATTACGCTACCGACTCTCTCTCTCTCCTACATTCCTCCCACACATGCTCTCATGATTCTACCCCACTCCCACATAACCTACATTTCCTTTCCTCCTCTCTCTCCCAATGTCTCCCTTCCTTATCTCATTCCCTAACCTAAACCTCGCTATCCTTCTCCATCTCTCCTCTCCCGATCCTTTTCCTAAATAAGCCGGCACCCCCTCCCCCTTTACCCATCCATACCATCTGTTGTACTTCGCATTCCTTATTTTTTCCCATCTCTCCTCCTGCTTTTCTCTATCCCTTTCTTGCAACTTTTCAAATTTAATCCCTCCCTCCGGCTCCCCCCCTTGCCAGCTTCCTATCCTCACTGTCCTCGAAGTACTGTCTCCTTTCCCTCTCCCACTCTTCTAACATTCTCTCTTTCCTTGCATTGTCCTTTATCTCCTTCCCAACACAGGTGCGCCAAAAAACTACCCCCCCCCTTAACTTCTTGAATTTCCAAGCCCTTTTTCTTGCTCTACCTCTTAATTTTTCCCTTTGTATTTCCTTCCTTACCATGTACCCTGGCGTTCTTCCCTCCACCCCTAAAACTCACCTTAAATATCTCTCCTGTATCCTCTCTACCCCCTCCCTCTCCTTCCATCCCCATATTTCCACTCCATAATTCATTATTGTCCAAATCAATGCGTCAAATAACCAAATCTTCCTCTTCCAGTCCTTTTCAACATCTCTTCTTCCCAATCCTCCATACCTATCCCAACATTGCCGCGACCTTCCCCACCTTTTCCTTCACATGCTCTTCCTGTCCCCCATTCCTCTGCAATGTATAAAGATATTTAAATTGTTCTACCTCCTCTATTCCCTTTCCTTTCCATTTCCAATCCACCTTACTACTCCTTTCCCCACCCTTCCTAAATCTCACTATTTTTGTTTTTTCCCTATTCATTTCTAATCCCTTCCTATCCACATAATCCTCTAATCTCTCTATCATGCTTCTCATGCTCCTCTCCTCCTCCACTAATAACACTATGTCATCCGCGTATGCCAACCCATACACCTTCCTACCCGCTAAATTCACCCCCCCCTCCCCCATTTGATCTTTCCCATCTCCTCCTCCAAGTCCGCTGTCATTACATTGAATAACAGCGGACTCAGCGGGCATCCCTGTCTTACCCCCCTCGCCGTCTAAAAACTTTCTCCTAATTCCACCACCCCTGTTCTCACTCTTTGTTTCCCTTCATAGCTCCCCCATCCTTTCTACCAGCCCTTCCCTTACCCCCTCTGCCTAAGTGCTTCTATCAATATTCCCCTATCCACCGAATCAAATGTCGTTTTCAAATTCACAAATAAAGCTATCAGTTTCCCCCCCTTTTTTTACCTGCTTATTTATTAGAAAATTCAACACATATATGGGTATGGGAATAAGTTTCCGCCTATTGCAGAAAGATGTCGTTAGTAGCATTGCTTGTGTGTTTGATAGAACGGCAACACATGTGTTTGAAAGGTTTGTGTTCAAACTTTTGAGCCCAATAGTTGGCATTCGTTCGAAGCGTAAAAAAGAGTAACTTTTTTTGCGTTGAAGATGTCGGAATTTATTCCAAAAAAGCAACATTTGCGGGAAGTTTTACTCCATTATTTTATTTTAAAGAAAAGTGCTGCAGAATCGCATCGTTTGCTCGTAGATGTTTACGGTGAGCATGATCCATCGAAAATCAGTTGTAAAGAATGGTTCCGGTGATTCAACAGTGGTGATTTTGACGTGCGTGACAAAGAACGCGAAGGTGCACCGAAAAAATTTGAAGATGCAGAATTGCAAGCATTACTCCAAGAAGATTCATGTTTATCGCTCGATAGGTTGTCAAAAGAGTTAAATGTTGATAAATCCACTGTTGGAAAACGTCTACACACAATGGGAATGGTGCAAAAAGAAGGAAATTGGGTGCCGTACAAATTGAAAGAGAGAGACATGGAAAGACGTTTGGTCATCTGCGAGATGCTTCGTCAACGACAACAAAAGAAGGGTTTTCTACATCGTATCGTAACTGGCGATGATAAATGGATCTACTACGATAACCCTAAACGCTGGAAAGTATGGGTGATGCCAGGTGAACGAGGTCCATCAACGCCAAAACGAAATATCCATGCTTCGAAGATTATGTTGTGCATCTGGTGGGATCAGAGAGGTGTTATATATTATGAGCTGCTCAAACCGTCCGAAACCATCAATGGCGATCGTTATCGACTACAACTGATACGTTTAAACCAAGCTTTGAAAGAAAAACGACCGGAATGGGACAATAGGCACAACAAGCTGATTCTGTATGACAACGCTAGGCCACACGTTGCAAAATCGGTCACGAAATACTTAGAAGGAGTAAAGTGGGAAATTCTGCCCCACCCACCGTATTCACCTGACATTGTTCCTTCAGATTTCCATTTGTTCCGAACCATGCAGTTGGCCCTTTCTGGAGAACGATTCAATTTTTATGAAGATATCAAAAAATGGCTTGATGAATGGATCGCTTCAAAAGAACCAGATTTTTTCATTCGAGGAATCCGTTTATTACCGGAAAAGTGGGAGAAAGTTGTCGCTTCCGAAGGAGCATATTTTGTATAAACTCACTTATATAGATTTGTTTAAATAAACATATCTTTTTCTTTTCAAAAAGAAGGCGGAAACTTATTCCCATACCCAATATGTTATTCAACGTCCCCAACCCCTTTCTGAAACTCGTCTGATTTATTGGAATTAACTCCTTCCCCTCCACTTCCTCCCTCAATCTTTCCGACAACGCCACCGTGTATACCTTATATAATGACGGCATTATCAACACCCCCCTGTAATACCTTACCTCCTCTCCCTATCCCTTTTATCTAACCGGTACTACCACTCCCTCCTTCCATTCCTCCATCCCCTCCCTGATATTTCCATATCTCATTCGGAATCCCGTCTACCCCCATTGCCTTTCCACCCTTCAAGTTTCTGGTCACCTTCCTTATCTCCTCCCTACTTAACTCCCTTTCCATCCCCTGTCTCTCCCTTCTCCTTTCTCCTCTTGCCCTTCCAGCAAATCCTTGAAATATTCCTCACACTTCTTCATCCCCTTATTTATCCTCTTTCATCTCTTCCTTTCCCTGTTTACTATTTCCCACACTTGCCTTTCACTCTTCGCTCCCTCCACTTTCCTTTCCCATCTCTCATTCTCCTTTTTTTCTTTGCCTCACACAGCTCCTTATATTCCCATTTTTCTTTCCTGTATTCCTCTCCCCTCCCCCCATTACCTTTCGACCACTCCCTTAATACCCATCTCACTCCCTTCTTTTCTCTAAATTCTCTATCCCACCATCCTCTTCCCTTCCTTTCCTTACCACTCCTTTTCTATATTTCCCAAAACTTTCCTTATTCTTCCTTCCGTTCCCTTCATACTCTCATTCCCCTTCACCTCCCACCATACTATCTCCCCCAACATTTCCCTAAATACAACCCTACCTTCCTCATCCCATACTCCCCTACTTCCTCCTTTCCCCTACCTATCCTTACCCTTTCCCTTTTCCCTTCCACCCCTCCATGCTACAACCAAAGTGTGGTGATCCTACTCTATTGTATCCCCCTTATCACCATATACTCTATCTCCTCTCTCGCTTCCTCATCCACCAACACATAATCAATCATTTTTTTATGTATGTCCAATATGTGTGTCAAATGATCGATTCCGGGACGCTTTCCGATGTCAATTAGCATATTCCGAGACATTCATTTGGTTCCAGGCCTGACCCGGAAAATTTCTATGTCTAAAGGCTGTTTCCAGGACAGTCTTGGAAAACTTATGTACATGCACATGAAAAATATGTGCGCATATAAGTTTTCCAAGACTGACGTGGAAACTGCCATTATGAAAAATATATATACAAAAATGTACTTTACAAAAAAAGACACGTATAACGTTATCCAATGATGCAAAATAAAGTATAAGCAATGTATTATTGAATTTTGAATACAAAAACCATCAATATATTTATATGCATAATAAAAAATCACGAAAGTTTGTGCATAAATATATAAAACAGTTAAAAATAAGAAAAATGATAATTTTTAGAAGCATCTACTGTACATAAGTACAAGCACATTTGCAAAACGTAATCGTGATTGAAGTCTACGTGAATTACGTGGAAGTAATCATTTTGATATTCACCACGGACGAAAAACATTATGTGCTGGAAATACACATTAGGATACAAGACAAAATATGTACACTTTTCATTGAAGAGTTTTCAAGTATTAAATGTATATCGCGCACATACCAATATTAAAATACGCGGTTAGAGAGAGAGAGAGAGAGAGAGAGAGAGAGAGAGAGAGAGAGAGCGAGAGAGAGAGGGATAACGGGCCATCCTAAAAAGGATGCCCCGAGAAATTGATAATAAAACGTAAAATATATTAGTATTGCAATTAAAAACCTTTATTTCATGTTTCTAAAATGCAAACAAGCACAGCCAGTGTGCGTGAAAAATGAGTATGCGATAGATTATACCCAGAATTCATCTTCAGGTAGTTGGAATCAAGCATTGCAAAAATAGGCACTTGACATTCATTCCGGTTGTCCTTTTTATTATTGTACAATAATATTTACTCTTTAGCAACGATTTTCACTGTAAAATAGGCGCATGGGTTATTTCATATTAGAAATACCTCTGGTATCTCATATTACGATTTTCACGCCTTATGGTTTTACAATCATCAAATCTAACTTCTGTAATTAAACAATTTAACATATCCCGTATTTTTCTATTAGTACGATCTTACTCTACCACTACATGAAGAATTTATTGCCAAATATTTATTTATTAAATAATAAACAAGGTTTAAAGGCTCATCTCAATGAAACTTGAAGAAATACTGTTACGTCCTGAATCGCGTGTTTAGTATAATGCGGTCTCGAGACGCGACATAGAATCGTGGGAGCGCGAGCGCGGAGCGGGGCGCGCGGGGCGAAACCTTGGCTTCGGGTGAAATTCGTTTTTCGGTATGTGTTTAAGCGTTGAGGCAGGCTGCTGTCATCAGTGCCTTTGTTATAGGCACGAATTGAGTTATTATTTTGCTCATGAGGTATCTTTTATTATATCTAGCTTATTTTAACCTTCCGTATTCCCTTATTATGCACAGGAAGGACATTAAAGAGAGTTTAGAGGAATTCAGATAAAGCGCCCTCGTACACGAAGGTGTACGAGGAATTGATGAAGATATAAAGATCTCTTTCCTGTGGGCAGCTGTGATATTTTCATCACACGCTTTGCTCTATCTACGCTCTCTGATTCCTGTGCGGGAAAGGGAGCAGGGAAGGATAATAAAGGGCCTTAAGGGCAAAGAATAAAACGAAAGATAAGGATTAACAATTTTAATGCTGATATTACAAAGCTGGTTATTTACTATTCTTGGTTTAGATGTAATGAGTATCGGCCTCGTAGGCTTGCGGGTGCGATATGGGAGGGGGACCGCGGTGGCGCGGGTCGTGGTTCCGGACGCCCTTGTTTCTCGGCCTCAGAGTTCTCCGCGGCGACCGTGGAAGGATGCTCTGTCGCGGGAGTTGTACACGGTTTCCCTACCTCGCGTGTCGTAGTTCCCGGTTCGGTCTTCGCCTCCCAATAATT